ACTCCAACAATTTCGCTGGGGGGACCTGACATTCTGTTAGGAGGCTACGGATCGGGCCATCAGTAACCTGCAGCAGACCCTGGATGAAGTCATCCAGGCGATTCTGCAGCTGGTGGCCCAAGCAGTCCAGGAGGCAAGGGAAGAGCAACCAGTGGCCCCACTCCCATAGCCACACCTAACGCGTCAGTCTGTACAATGAACTTTTTTGATTCATCGGGGTGGGCTAGCACTGGCTCCGAAGTGAAAAGGGACTTCAAGCGCATGAACGCCTCTTGGCATTCCTCAGACCAGGGAAGCGGACCTGACCTTCTGTAGGTGAAGGAGTGAAAGTACGCCCTGCCACCTCAGCGAAGAAAGCCACCGAGAAGCCGAAATTTGCTAGGGTCCTGCAAGCAGCACCAGAGTACGAGGCCCCGGAACTGAGCAAGGAGGAGGGCGAGCCGGCGGGACTGGAGGTGGGGGTGGTGAAGTTAAAAGACCCCTTGATTTTCACCCAGATGGATGGGTCTCCAATGAAAGACCCATGCCTGTGCGAAACGGTGCCGCTAAGGATGGGGGCTGGGGACCATTGGGAATCACAATCGTGCATGGTCACCCCAGCAGCCCATTTCCCGTTGGTGCTAAAGGCTCCATGGTTGCATGGGCACGATCCCTACATACTCTGGGAGGAGGGTTGGGTACAATTCATCTCACCCCGATGCCAAACTCATGGATGGAACTCCAAGTGGGGGCAGCAACCCACCCCGATATTTCGGTAGCCCTCCTAGCCCAAGAGGAATTGCTTTCCATTCCTCCCGAGTACCGGGACTTGGCTAGGGTGTTCGGGGAGGAAGAAGCGGATGAGTTACCTCCCCATAGACATTCAGACTGTAGCATCAAACTGGTGCCAGGGGCCAAGCTGCCTAAAGGGAGGATTTATGCCATGGGGCCGGCTGAGAAAGAGGAACTGAGAAAGTTTATCGACAAAAACCTGGCAAGGGGTTTAATCCGGCCGGCCTCTTCCCCCTTTGTGGCACCTGTTCTCTTCCGGAAGAAAAAAGATGGTGGGCTGAGACTCTGCACGGATTACCGGGGTTTGAATGCAGTGTCCTCCACTAACACCTACCCTATGCCATTGATTAAAGACTTGCTATCAGAAGCAGCAAAAGGGAAAAAAAATTCTAAACTGGACTTACGAGACGCATACTTCCGTTGCACATAAAGGAAGGTGACGAGCCGAAAACAGCATTCAACACCCCCCTTGGGCAGTTCGAGTATTTAGTCATGCCCTTCGGACTTCAAGGGGCCCCGGGGGTCTTCATGAACTTTATAAACGAGGTGTTACACAAGCATTTATTTAACGGGGTGCTCGTTTACCTTGATGACATACTTTTGTACTCCCCCGATTTACCCTCCCATGTGAAATTGGTGAGAGAGGTTCTCAGCACGTTGCACAAGCACAAACTCTTTGCAAAACTGTCTAAGTGTGAATTCCACAAGACTCACATTGACTTTCTGGGCTATCGCATTTCTAATGAGGGGCTGGAGATGGACCCGGGGAAGGTTCGGGATATTTTGGGGTGGGAAGCCCCCCGGACTAGGAGGCAATTACAATCTTTCCTTGGATTCGCAAACTTTTACCACTCATTTTTGCCCAATTTTGCCCAAATCAGCCTCCCCCTCACGGACCTTTTAAAGACGAAGGGGAAAGGTCCGGAAGCCACCTGACCGGGTGGCTCCGCTTCCGTGGTCTGAGGAATGCCAAGAGGGGTTCATGCGCTTGAAGTCCCTTTTCACTTCGGAGCCAGTGCTAGCCCACCCTGATGAATCCAAAAAGTTCACTGTACAGGCTGACGCGTCAGATGTGGCTATGGGAGGGGCCATTTTGCAAGAGGGAGAGGATGAGCTTTTACATCCGCTGGCCTATCTATCCAAAAAGTTCAATGACTCTGAGAGAAACTGGTCTGTATGGGAGAAGAAGGCGGGGGCGATAAAGCTGGCACTTTCAACGTGGAGACATTGGTTGGAGGGGACCAGGGTTCTGTTCAAGGTGTGGACGGACCACAAGAACTTAGAAACCCTAAAAACGCCCCGCTGCTTAAACGCCAAGCAACTACGCTGGGCAGATTTCTTTTCTAACTTCCAGTTCACCCTCCATCATTTCCCAGGCTCAGCCAACTCGTTAGCGGACACCCTCTTGCACCTCCCACAACATGACAGCCAACGGGACATCATCCTGGATTCAGTGTTCACTCCCGCCCAGTTGAGGGGGCAGTGAAAACTCGCAGCCAAGCCGTTAAAGTGCCTGCCCCTTAACCCGTTCCAATCTCTGCCCTGCCAGCTTCGCCGTGGGCTGACAGGTTCAACTCCGCCTTCACGGAGGCGGACAAGGAACAATCAACAGGGGTGGGGGATTGCCGGCAAGGGGAAAATGGCTGTTGGTATCGGGACCATAAACTGTACGTGCTGCAAACCCTTCAGGGGGAGGTGATGCAGTCAGTTCACGGATCTAAGTTAGCGGGGCACTCGGGTTTCGTGAAGTCTCTTCAACCGCTGCAGAGACAATTTTGGTGGCCGCACATGCACAAGGATTTATCATTGTTCGTACAATCGTGCCAAGTGTGTGCCATGAGCAAACCTTGGCCAGGGAAAGTCCCGGGACAATTAATGCCCCTACCCACTCCTAGTCGGCCTTGGGAAGTCATTTCGATGGATTTTATCACTGATTTACCTCCCAGTAAATCCATGACGGTAATATGGATGGTGGTTGATCAGTTCTCAAAGCAGGCACATTTCATCCCCTTTGCATCCTTGCCAACGGCTAAAGCTCTAGCTAAAGCTTTCTTGGTCTATGTGGTATGTCTCCACATGTTGCCGGGCAAGATTATCTCTGACAGAAGGACCCAGTTAGTTTCTAAATTTTGGGGGGAATTGTTGAAGATTATGGGGATGGAGAAAGGTTTGAGCAGCGCTTACCACCCAGAGACTGACGGCCAAACGGAACGGGTTAATCAAACGTTGGAGCAGTACCTCCGTTGCTTCACGAACTACCAACAAGACGACTGGCATGACTTGTTGCCTTTGGCTGAATATTGTTATAACAACACCTACCACACGTCCACTGCAATGTCACCATTCAAAGCTCTTTACGGCTATGACAGCCCACTGTTGCCTTTTCTGGATGGGGATACTACGTTGGGACCTGGGGAGGCTGGGTTATGGTGCAAAAACTTAAGGGAATCATGGCCCCTCTTGTGTAAGACATTAAATGCAGCCAAGGAGGCGTACAAGAATCAGGCTGACAAGAGAAGGGTGGAGGGTTGGGCTCTGCAGCCTGGGGATTTTGTTTACGTGTCCACTAAGAATATCAAAATGTTACGTCCGAGTAGAAAGTTGGGGTGGAAATTCATTGGGCCGTTTAAAGTACGTAAAATTATTAATGAAGTTGCTGTTGATGTTGAATTGCCTAAGAATTTGAGGTCTTTGCACTCTGTATTTCATTTCAGCCTCCTGAAGAAAGACACCGGGTCCTGTCCTTGGCGGGGGGACCACCCGGTTCCGTCGCCTATTCTAATAGAAGGAGAGGAGCACTATGAGATTGCTCACATTCTGGACTCGAAACGCAAACGTGGAAAGTTGTTTTATTTGGTGGAATGGAAAGACTTTCGACCCCAGCACCTCGAGTGGGTGGAAGTAGGGGATATTTGGGGCCCTCAGTTGATACGCAAATTCCACCGGGAGTTCCCGGGGAAACCGGGAGAACTCCCGGACTGATTGGGAGACATCTGGATTTTTTTGGGGGGGAGTTGATTTTCAAGGGGGCAGTATGTCAGCAAGCTGCCAAATGTGTTTCTGCTTTCACTTTCTTGCGCATTCCTTTCCTTGCACTTAATTGCTTTGCCGCAGCAACAAGTATCTTTCAAGGCCGCAGGAGGAGAGCCGCTGGAGACATTGCTTGGGTTATCCCGCGGATGAGTCATGGGAAGCTTTACCTGTTATGCTTATTAGTACCGTTAGTTCTTAGGCCTAATGCCGCGCGCGGGAACTTCCGCAATTGGGTCTTGGTGCTTTGAATGTACTATATCCTGACATGCTCTTTGGTTGCAAGTCATTCCTAACAGTGTTCCTGTCAATGCACCTTTAGCTTCAATAAAAGTAAAACCTTTCTACAAGCGTGTACTTCGTTGTCGCTGGGGGGACCTGACACCTGCTCAGTGCAGGAATTAGGCAACTACAGCAACCCACTCTGCTTAAAGGAGCACACACCTTTTAAAAATGTTCTAGAACAATTGGAAAAAAGCATTTACAGGATAAATTTGTGTGCAGCTGTGCCCCCAAAAGCTCCCCCTCATAGCTATGGTGTAGCTTTTGGGGGCTCCGCCCTTTATTGTTTCACTCCCTCTTTTCTTCCTCAGTGGCTGCCCCATCTGCCCTTGGATACACAATTTATGTGCTTTTTAAGCCTTGTATTTTTGAGCTCATGCAGCTAAATATGCATTAAAAACCAGAGTGCTATCTCTCATTCATACACACACACACTTCCATTATAGCTATTTGGTGACTAATACTTGCAATTGCTAAAACCATAAAACAACTGTAATGAATATAACAAGAAGGTTTCCTCACCACCTTTTAAAGATTTTTCCACAATGGTAAAAAAGAGTAGAAATAATAAATAATTCAGAATGAGAGCAGTAGTTTTGTCCCAGGACTACAGGCACAAGTGTTCCACCACTTCCATTTTATCCTCAGAACCATCCTATAAGGTAGGTTAGGCTGAGAGTAACCCAAAGTCATACAGCAAACTTGTATAACACACTGGATATATGAATCTAGTTGTCCCAAATCCTGGTGTGACACTCTTAAGTACTATGCAATATTGGTTCTTTATAAAATTCTACAGAAAAACATACTTCTTCCTGACAAATCCATTCCTACAAGTTTCTAGTAAAGTCTGCAGTATACTGAAAACAGTCAATACAAACAATCGCTGCCAAGAATGCAGATTTTAAAAAACCTACCTTGAAAAGACTGTTTAGCTCTGTCTACCAGCTCTTGAACAGGATAACTTGCTAGATCTCCTCTGGCATGTTTGGTTTTACAATATGTACATGCATTCAGGCACCTGAATAAGAAGGGGAAAAAAACATTTTAGTAAATTAAATTTTAAACACACTAATTCTATTTTCATCTATTTGTATGCTCCACTCTCAGTTTAATATACTTGACACAGTTCATATAAGTAATTAAAAGCATAAAAAAATAACCAAACCCACAGTACAAATAACCTAACAATATACACGCTGTCGCCAAGCAGCAATAAAGATAGATAACTGCATCCAAGTTAAGATTACTGTAAGGTGCTTTATGTGGGGTTGCCTTTGAAGAACAATCTTGAAAATTCAGCTGGTCCAAAATGCAGTGGCTAGGCTATGGTCAGGGGCTGGTTACAGGGAGTATATCACCCCTGTGCTGAAAGATCTGTTTTCAGCCACAATTCCAAGTGCTGGTTTTTATAAGGCCACAAATGGCTTAGGGACAGAGTACCAGAGGGACCAGCTTCTCCCATACTATCTAGTCCACCAGTTAAGTTCTGCCTCTCAGCCCGTGCCATTCAGAACTGAGACAGGTAATAACTAGAGACAGGGCATTTTTGGGGCTTGCACCTCAAATTTCGAACATTCTCCTCACTGAAGCCTTTACTGTCTTTCAGGTACCAACCCAAATGTAGCTTTTGACCCAGGCTTTTAATTAGGGGTTTCCAGCTTTTCAGCACCCTGAGGTCTGTTTTATGGACAGTTTGATGCTGTTTATTGTTAACATTATTTTAACTGAAAGACACATCGAGCAGGACTCTGGTAAGGTGGCATAGAAATCTCCTAAATAAACAAACAAATCTTATCATGATAGAACAGCAATAAACACACACTCGGTAAAAGCAGCAACAAAATGAAATTTGTTACCCAGATAAAATAGCAGCTGAATCACCAAAAAATATATCCCAGACCAGAAAAAGAAAAAAGGGGGGGAAGGGGGGGAACCCTTCAGCAGATTCAACAAAATACCTATGTGTATCTTCACTCGCTATAACTGTCTACGCTTCAGTAAAATATTCCATGTGTAAAATATTGCATGCTTTCCATTCTTCAATAGGTCTCTATTTTCCTTTTCCAAGCAAACTCAAATCTTGCCATTATTAGCACATTAGTATTTAATCCTTTTCCTCCATCTTGGAGCTTTTTCATATACCAGTCCATAGAGGATGACATCAGAATTCTGATCCTGGTATTTGTTTAATAATTCATATGACTCCATTTTAAGCAGCAGTGCAAGATACTTCTAAAATATTGAGAGATTTATAAAAATTACAGCAATTTCAATATGTAATGGTAGCCATTTACTAAGCACTCTCATATAGTCTATATTAAGAAAATATGTTGATAAATGACACCAGGTTTCCTTGTATATTAATACAACTAAATCTATATGAACAAATCTGCCATGCGCTCAAGTAAACAAAAGCCCTTTACTGACAAACAAATTTGACTTTTGACCTCTCTAAAGCCAAGCTCAATCAAGTGATATATTGCCCCTCAAAAATGATTCATGCAATATTTGTCAGTGTTGAAATCTTCATTAATCCTTTTGTTACTCAGCCCTTTTTTCCTGGTTATGGAATAAATATACTTAATTACATATAAAACATTTACAGCAGAAATAACACAAGCAATTACTTTGAATTTTAAAAATCATGGCTCGTCTTTAACATTTTTTAAGTTAATCAGTCATCTGGCTCAACTGAATTGTAATTAATCAATTTCAAATGTTGCATACCCAAACTTGAATAGACACAGTGAATACAAAAAATACAACAGAATGCACACAATAAACAAAGCCCCCACTAGATTTCCCAGTGTCTATATAGCCCTGCATACTGAAGGCATGTTTTACAGCTGTTCTAGAAAATATTCAGACTCATACTATATCTTTGCTGACGTATATTTGGTATAGTTCTGATGGCACAACAGAGAAAGAGAATGTACAAGTGGAGACTCGCAAGAAACATGCGGGATGGTTATCCTATTCCTCACACCTTTGCTTCCTCCTGTCTCCCCCTACCTCTCTCACACTATTTTTCCCTTCTAGCCCTTCTTTCTTTCTTTCTTTCTTTCTTTCTTTCTTTCTTTCTTTCTTTCTTTCTCTCTCTCTCTCTCTCTCTCTCTCTCTCTCTCTCTCTCTCCTCCATGTATGGTTTGGAGGGTGAAGTCTATGGCATTATACTGGTCTGTAGTTCCTCC